TCCCCGGTCTGTAATCTCTACGGTGAAGGATGCACTACATTCATCACTCTAGACCACCCTCCTCCATTGATCAATTTTCCAACCCCTCTGGCTAATGCACCATTCATATCTCTTTCTTACCAGAACTGGTGTTAACAATGGCCTCTCAGCCTTTATATACTTATAAATGCCATATTCTGCTAGTCTTCTCTTAATCATCCGGACAGAAGCTTGGGGGGCAAAATCTTGGCAAAGCTGCTCAAGAGGTATTTCTCTGTTATGCCTTGAGGCAATAACTAAATGACAGGTACCGTGAGGAAAATCTTTTAGACTCGACAAGTTTTAGTTGGGACTAAAACTGACCCTGTTGTCTTGTATCATTAGTATGCAGAAGCGAGCGTGGAAGTTGGTATTTCTACTTAGCATAATATCTTGGTGAAACTTGTCCCCACTTCCCTCATTCCAATGGTTCTCCAATACGTTGACTCAGGACATTCCTTCATTCCTACTCTCCTCCAGTATGGACTTTTTTTCATTATAGTATGAGGCAGTGCCATTGTTGTGGTTTTGTTTTTGTTGTACGATTAGTTGTATTGCTAACAATGACTTTTATCCAAGAACTATATCAACAATGAAACAACCATTTTCTCAACAATGATAAGAAAAGAAACTCTCTTTCAGATAGAATACAGAGAAGAGAAGTAAACACCTTAGTAATGAGTCTGTAAGCCATTTTACTCTCTACATTCTCTAAGCCTTTGAGGCATACTATCAATCAGCTCATTCCAATCAGAAGGTTTTAGACTTCATACAAGCCTTACATTATGTATAACTCTTACTAGCAAGTGTACTCTGAATTGTGTAAGGTGCAACACACAATCTAGCTTCCTGTCCTAATTGCCTCCAAGATAGTCTTCTTCCCTCCTAATTTCTTTTCAACATAAGTCCAATATCTTATTTGTTGAGCTTATAGGATCACCCAGTTCTCATATTCTGCTAGCACTGTTTTCGGGGCTCTTGCCAAGCCTAATGACTTATCATTTGTTGAGTAACACTAGTAAGATCTGATGCCTTGTTCTGTGAAATACCACATTCCAACATTATCAGGACTTTGGTCCTAGTTGGAGTGTCCCATTCATGGTGAATTGTAGATGATGGTGTGGTAGGAGTCACAGTTATCATACTGGATGGGATATTGTGGTATCTCGGTACTACTCATAACTTTTCACGCCAAGATCGTACTCATACTGTACGGGTAAGGAAACTTGTTAGGACATGGCATAGATAGACAGACTCCATAGATCCCTGAAGAACGATAAGGCAATTTAAATGGCTGGTACTGTCTCTTCCAGCGTTATGAGATTCCCAAGTCGTGAGAGTGGCGCTGCCACTTACTGTCTTGGCGGTCAGGACTAGTTAGTTATTAGTACATGTGCTCTACCTTTTCTTCACTCAATATCATCATCGTCAAACACAAACAACACCAACAAGACAACACATCCAAAGAAACAACACATTTCATCCTCTCTTACTTAGTGGACATGAAGGTAATTAAGAGGAAGAAGAAAAAAAATAAAAGAAAAAATAAGTAAGTCTAAATTAATACCTTACAAAAAGGCCAACAAGCTAATAAAATCTAATTGAGCATTGTCTGATTCAGACTATCATGTTCAGCCAGATGTCTAATACTCTCATCACTGTCCATAGACTCATCAGCCTTCTCATCATCCTCACCCAAATCACTATCGTCAGTTACCTCTAATCCTTCTTGAACGAACTCCACTAGCTTATTATCTAACAAGGCAATCTTATCCGCAACTCCATTAATCTTGACTTCAACTTCCACAATTTTCTGGTACAAGACTTCATGGCTGAGTCTAATTTGAGATCAAAGATTCTGTTCTTTCTCCACCATTTTTTATTTCAGTTCCTGAAGTTGGTCCTGTAGGTTCTCTTTTTGCTTTAAATATCTTACTCTCTTTTGTCGTATCTTTTTATACACTTCACTAACAATATCTTTCCTCCAACATCGCAGATCATCTGCTGTTGCAGAGGTTTGTCAATGGGAGGGAATCTTCTTCCATGCACATGGTTGATTGTGAGCTTCTCGTTTCCGTTCTTTGGATCTTTGCTGAAGTCGTGCCTTCTCTGTCAGATGAATCTTTGCATGGGCAAACTGAGCAGAATGAATCAACTTGGTATACTTGAACTTATAGATTCAAATCTTGAATAAACTAAGAGAGGGATTACTAGCTAATTAGAATAGGTTATTGCTTAATCGTTTCAGTGAGTTTGGAGTTGTTGGTGTTGCTGGAATCTCAGGTGATGGAGTACGTAATGGTGGGGTTTGGGGTCGTTGTACTCAGTTTTGAAAAAGGACACTTGAGTTGTTGGTTGATGATGGAACAGCTGGAGATTCCAGTAAATGAATTGGTTGGGATTGGAACAAGATAGAAAGTACAGGAAAGGGACTCTAATATGTTGGCTTCTTCAATTTCAGATTAGGCAGATCATCGTATATGACTTTACAATCGGTATGCTTTACTGGGTCATATGGGGAAACCTTTTGAAGTGCTATATATCTGTCAAGTGAGTTGATGCTAGTTGTTGCAAAAGCTGATATAATATTTTGTACTGTAAAGGCTTTTTCTCATACCTGTGACAGAAACTTCTAAAAGTTGGTTTTTGATACTCCATAGCATCTATAACGAAATACTGTTTCCAGAACCTGAGCATAATAGTTCTTATATGGTCTGAAGATTCCAAAATCTAGTAGTTGAAGAAGATTTGTACTATGTGGAGGTAGACAAAATGTGATAATACAATTATCAATACAGTACTGTAGGAATCCATGCGATATGTGAGATTCATGACCATCAAATATAATTATCCGATACTGGCCATTTACTTTCTTTACTGATAGGCTTTCCAAACCAAAGTGATGCTTTAGGTAGCCCAATTCCATCTCCTTATCTGTCCATCTATTTAGAGAATGGCCACAAAGAACATCTCCTAAAAAAGATAGAGTTGGATCGAACCATCCAACTCTGAATTCCTCTGCCTTGTAAATAATCATTAGACTAAGATTTCCTCCATTGGCACATATGGCTTCAATTACTGTTACCATTTCTCGGTTTCCATTTATTGTACATATTAGCAGAGTGAAAATATTATTGCACATTTGTTGATATATCAAAAGATCCTAATGCTCTATTAAGCTGTAATTCTCTAATATCAACTACAACCTTTTCTGAATGGAATGCACCTATAAGAAATCCCATTTTATCGAACTTGTATAGATTTTCAGGATGCACATTATGGCAGTTTATAAGTTCCATTAACTTAATTAATTGTATTAGTTTTAAGTCATAAATAAATATTATAAATAAAATCAAAATAACTTACACAATCAAAGTACATATTAAGTACAATAGGATTATTTGCCTGAACAGCACGGCAATTTTCGATCTGCTTACTTAATACACTCGCTAACAGGTCATGGCATTTAATAAAATCATAAACCCAATGTATTACAATGATTCCTTCAGGCTTTCTTAATTGTAGCAAACCTTGTAACATATCCCTTACCACTTCATGTCACACAGGCTGAAGCCATGAGCTCAACAAGCTACATCTATTCAGAATAGCTTTCTCCTCACCTACTGTTAATTTACACTTTTTTTCTATACTCTCTTTCCTACTTCCATGACCTCTGATTGCATGGCACAAGGTCTAATATGCAATACCACAAGCTTCAGCAATCATCTTCCAATTCGGAGTAAGACCATCATGCAGTTCTCTCTCGATCCAGGTTATTGCCATATGTTTTTTCTTTCATCAAGACTAAAGATTTCTGGAAGCTGCAGCAGTTTTGAAAGAACTGGCATTTTATATACCAGTAAAATGCAGGATAGGGGATATGGTAGAATGGGAATTCAAAATACTTCCCTCAAAAGTGTGGTCACTGCAATCTACTCTACTATACCACTATACTATGGTGCTTGGATCCTACGCCATCATTTGTCATACTTAAACTTTTGTCTTGAGGTCATCTGTTCTGTTATAGGTTTAGTGTGGTCTTGGGATTATGCATACTCCCACATTTCTGCAGCCACTCTCGCGACTCCGGAATCTCGCAACGCCGGAAGAGACCGTAATCTATAAAAGAATTTGTCGGGGTAACTGCCTGACGTTTTTGAAACAAATCATACCTGCTGTCCCAGGTCGGGAAAAAATCTTTTCACCAACGCCAGGAAATTCGACCACATTTTGGACCGTCCCCATGAAGAAACTGGACTTTTAGCAAGAGGTCTATTTTGAAAGATGGCGAGAGAGATGCTTTTTTTTTTGTGTATATATATTATTGCGGGAGCTCGGCGTTTCTTTCTCAGCTATAACCCACAGACGACGAATTCCATAAATCTCCTCACCACCCCGTCCCCATCGCATAATGGTAGACAAGGCGATAAGGATCTACGCTGTCAAAGCGACCCGACCAGCACAAGAAACAAACCGTTAGCAAATGCCAGTTCAGCGGGACAATTTCAATAACAATGCGCAGGGAGTGCACCGGTACTCGTACAAATCCGGCCATTAGCACACCGTAGGGCACGAAATGGTGCTGAGACGCCCAGTACACCGGGGCGAGTAGGAGGATCGGAGGAGAGTCCGCAAATGCCATTTTGAGTTCGCTCCCCTCCCCCCGTGGTCTAAACGATAGAATGTGCTTGCCCATCTCTACGCTTCGGCCCCACGCCATGAGTTATTTAGGCGGGGGTTCAAGTTCGCCCTTGTGATTAGATGCAGTAAATCTTCCTTCTTTTCCCATTTTCGGGAAAGTCAATCGAGTGATACACTATGATTTCTAAAAGGTGGGCGATAATGGGGCAGGCGGAACCATCAGTGCAGGATGCGCATCTCCCACACCGAGAATATATATCCGAGGAATAAAAAATAAAAAAATAAAAAAATAAAAACCATTAGGACGATTAAATCCGGACTATATACTCCTTTCCCGGATATCGATACTACTAAATATATATATACTGTATCACCTCTAGGCTGATAAAAGTAAAAAAGACAAGTAACAATACCTGTAAGAAAAGAAGTTACCACTCAATAACCTCCTCTTCCCCCAGTGCTCCATCTGGCTCATTAACCACACTCAAAGCCCTATCCCTACGCTCCTGTTCCTTCTCCTTCTCCTTCTCCTCACCCCCGCTCATGCTTCCAATAACCGGACTTCCGGTGCTAGCACTCCGCCTCTTATCCTTCCTTCGTGAACCGCGCCGGACCGGTGAACTAGGTACAATCGGGGATCCAGGGGCTGACGGAGAGCCAGCCGGTAACGGTGGTAGTGGGACCTCCTGGTATTTCTTGATGACGGCCAAAGTGCCGACCGTGGCAGCTTGGGATAGCTGTAAGAAGTTGGCTTGCATTCTCTTCATCGCCTTCTCCGTGGACTCCTTTTCCTTTCGCAGCCTCAGGATCGTGGAGTCGAGATCTGTGATTATCATGTTTTGTTGGGCTGTCACGGTGGCGTGCTTTTTACGCAAGGATTCGCGGTCTTCGTACGTGCCTCGATACTCCTGGTCGTAGATGCGGAGCTTGTCCTTTAGTGTGGCGATCTCTTCTAGCAGGTTTGCGGTGGTTGGGGTTGAGGGGCGGGATGTGGGGGTCGAGACTGCTGGAGGGGGTGGCGGGAACGGAGATAAAGGTGGGGGTTTGCGGTCAAGGAGACTTTCGAGGTCCGCCACTGTGCGGTTTAGGCCGCGGATTTGAGCGTCGCGCTTTTTAACGTCGTGTCTATAGGCTTTGACGTCCTGCTTATAGAGCTCTAGGTCTTGTTGTAGATTGTCGAGTTCTCGCTTGGTCACGCTGTCCGAGTCACCGAGGACTGGCCGGTCGGGTGAGTTCTTGCGCGCTTCTTCGAGATCGTGCTGGCACTCCTCTAGGCGATCGAGAATATTGACGTTCTCGGTTTCGAGGTCCTTGATACGCTCGTCACGCTTCGCTAATGTGGCCGAGTGGCGCTCCAGCTCCGACTCCACCAAGTGCCATGCTTCCTCGAGTGCCGACTTCTCCCGCTTCAAGACTGTGACCTCAGATTCCAAGTATGCTATGCGGGTATCACGGTCTTCGACCACATTCTTCAAATCCTGACATGCACGCTTCGATCCAGAAACGTTGTTCAGTGCGTCTTCTGTAATCTGGTCAATCTTGGCCTCCAGCTGCTTGTTCCTCTTCTTTTCTTCACCTAGTCGGGTATTGATTTTTGTGATCATTTGAACGAGCGATTCATTTCCTTCTCGTTGCGTAGTGACGGATTGTTTGGCTTGTTCAAGCTCCACCTCCATATTCGTTATCCGGCCCTCGAATACTTCCTTCTCTTGTCTCAGCGTCTCAAGCCTTTCGTTAAACTGCCGGCCGAGTTCTGCTCGTCGCTTTTCCTCTTCAGCAAGCACGTAATCGATGTTTTCCTTTGCTTTTCTTCGAGTTTCATGACTCTTAAGCTCCTCCTGCGTTAGTTTATGCTCCATTTCCCTCCAAGCATTCGTGCGGGTCTCCTCCCTCTTCCGGTCTCCTAGTAGGACAGCGTCGTGATCCGACCGAGATTTCATTGCTGACTCGGCCAGTTTTCTCTCAGCTCTTTCTCTCCTCTTAATCTCATCCATCAATCTTCTGCCAATATCTGCAAGCCCCATCTCAGAAATAGCCACTAATGCCGGCTTTCCGCCAATTAAAATCCGATCCTCATTCATGACCTGAATCTGTCGTCGGGCGCTCTCAAGTTCACGATCCCTCTCAGCGGCAGATTTCTCCAAAACGGAAACTTGATCTTTGAGGGTATTAGCATTAGACCGAAGCAGCTCAAGCTCCTTCTCTTTTCCATTCACAACATCCATCAATTTGAATTCCCGGCGGCGATAGCGATCCAAGTCTTCCAAGTCTTCCAGTCCAACCCCATCAGGAGCTTCCAACCGCTTGGCAGCGTTTCGCAACATCTGCACCTCAAGAGCGTGGGCTTCTCGTAGACTATTCATCTCTCGCGCTGCCCGAGCGATTTCATCATTCTTCTCCAAATTTGCCATCTCCAGGTCGTGAATTCGGTGGGACAGTATTTGATTTGCGTATTGACCCTGAAACAATTAGAAAATTTGCAATCGGATTAGTTTCACAAAGGGGGATATAAACCTCAGACCCCTTCGTCCCAGAGGAGACATCATTAATCTCACCGGGGTTTAAATTGGCAGCGTAGCGAGCAATCACGTGGTCTCTCGTGGTAATCACCTATTCCACAATGCATTAATAACGCCACGATTTGGTTCTGCATGAAGTGCATAATCAAGTCATACCTCCTTCAACCTGGCAATCTCCATGACCAGTTCCTCTTCCGACTTGTGTATATTTTCGTTAAACCTACCGGCCCGCGCCCTCAGCGGACTTTCGGGTGATAAGGGGGGACTAATTGGATATTCGCTTATAGGATTATAAAACCCATGATTCGAATGGCTCCTACAATCCACCCTAGTAGCCGCTAAGGGAAGTCTAGGGGTCGAAGAACTAGGACGGGAACCAGAGCCACAGCGGTTCTGAAACGCCGCCGGTGAGTCGGGCAACGGAATGCACTGGGGTAAATCCGGGGAAGGTGGATGTGGAAAGTTTGAAGAATCGATATTCACGAACCCTTCCACACGAGAACCTAGCTGCGGTGCCCGCTGATCCAACGACCGTACCCGCCGCGACCCGCTAGCGTCGCTATTGGACCTGATTAAGCCCGATATAGACGATTGCTTCTGGTGATAGCGGCGCTGCTGCTGCTGCGGGGTCGGCGTCAGTGAGTTGAAGTTTGTTGTCCTTGCTCTCGTGAGATGCGGCGCGAAGGCAATCCCCCCGCTATCGGCCGCGTGCCCAGGCACCCTAATGGGATGAGCCTTGGTGAGGAGCTTTGGCTTTCTCGAATGCGTCGGTGGAGCAGAGTGCGGGGGCAGCGGAAGAGGTTGGTATCCGTCGTGTGTGGAGGAAGTAGTGATATTTGAGGGGGGCGATGAGGCGAACGTGCTCACATGTGATGAGCATAGCGCCGCTTTCGAGGCCTTATCCTCAGAGTTTTTTCGGCGCGAAAACAAACCCAGAGATAGTGACATTAAACCTCGTCTATCTCCCTCTCACGGGACGACTGTTGGGGTGGGGAAAGAGGGAAAGGCTCACGACGGAGGGGTTGCGGTTCAAGCGGTCGGACAGGGGAACGGAGAGCCGCGGATAAAAGCTGGTCTATCGGACGGGTGTGCGCAGCAGAAACATGTATGACAAGAAGCTCCTGCGAATGGGAAATAGTCCCCTCGTCCCGGTTCTTCCCTCACAGTGTCATGTAGAGCACTGGTATTAGAATAGCAAAAGCGTATTGTACGAGTACTGTACTTGTACAGTATCAATAGATCCAAGACGTCCAGTCCGTATCCAGCGGAATGGAAGAATTGGCCAAAGCCCTGGCGAGTTTCAGAATCAAGAGGGATATAAAAAGAATAGACTTTTCCCCCTTTGCCTCGTCGACAAAACCAATTCCGAAACAAGGAACGTCGGGCGTACCGTGCTCGACCAAGACGGCGGCAGAATAGGACAAGTTGAAGGGAATAATTAAGAAGGTCGAAGAGAAGTGAAAGTACGGTGAGATAGGGGCGCACCACACCCGGTCAGTAAGTGTCGAGGAACAAGGAAAACTACCGGTAGATGGGTAAGAGCATAAGTACGAGATGCCCTCTCTCGAACGGGGAAGAGTGGGGGGGGAGAAGGGGAGAGAAGGGGAGAGAGGGAGAGAAGATGGGAATAGTTCAAGGTGCGTGGTACAGTACAATTCTCCACGTGTAGCTTTACCGGTACATAGTTTACCATGAGTCTGGGGAAATCAAAGCCTGGGGAGAATCCTCGGTTAGGCAATGCAGGCGACCCGTCCCGTTTGAAGGAGGAATAAAATGATAAATTCTCATTCAGTCCAAGTGGTAAGAAAGCACGCGGCATATCAATAGTCATGTACTCGTACTGTACTCGAGTACCTGGAGTCTACCTGCATCAAGGGCAATTACCTACCAATTACTCGATCAACAACAACTCTGCACCACACAAAATACAAATAGCCCATCTAACTAAACCAACAGTGAGGCCCAACTAATGTTTAGCTTCAAACCGGGCGCTTCCAACAAATGCCCCTGTCCAGCGGAACCTACCGAGACAGGCTGTCATAGCCAATGGCAGACACGCTTTGCCGCACAAAAGCAAAACAATTCTGGAAGGAAAAACTATTATCCAACTTCCTTTTAGAAAGGGGCCAGTACAAGTGCAAGAGTTGGTGCATTACTTGTGGTATGATGGCAAAACTGAGGTGAGATGTGAAACTCTTTTCACCTCGGTCTGCCTGACATTCAGGTGCTCACAATACTATTCTAGATTCAACCCATCATGCTCGCGTACAGAGAAGCATGTGTTAGCAACTCATTTGGCCTCACTCACTTAGAGCATCAACTTCCCTATGGCAATATGCACTACCGTACAAGCATGATACTTATTGCCCCCCAGAAAAATCTTGCATCCAGTCATGGATCATCACCCGGAATTTGCGAGAACCAATCCCCGATCACAGCCCCAGCACGGCCTAATAAATCATGCGCTGGAAGGTGGGATTGGAAAACAACACCGATTCTGTGGTTTTCAAGAACAAATGAACCAGTGGGTGGGCGAATCGGCCACCGACCACTCACAGAATATGAGTGCGAACACACCCCAGGTCTGCACCCCCTGCCGTCAAGAATTGACTTGGGTTCCGTTTGAATACAGCGGTTCCGTTCCGTTTTGCGACCGTTTCTGCTGTAAAAACGATCAACAAACGGGAGGAAACAGTCACCTTGTATGGGGCAACGGAATGGAACCGTTGTGTCCAAAGAGTGTCTTGGGGAAGTCATTGCACGGGTACTCGTATCATATCAGCGCAATAAGGCACATCAGGCTATCCTAAATCCTCACCTGCACTATCTGATCCAAAATGAAGCTGAAACAGCCCAGTTCGAGTATAAAATCTCTCACGCCTGAAGCTTAGGGGATGGGTTGGGATTAAAACTTGGAGAGAGAACAGCGCTCCTCACCAGCTTTCTAAGCACCCTGTAGAAACACGAGCCACCGTATGATACCCTTCATTACTCGGGAGCCAATCCTAAGCACCATACTCCGTGACCCCTCCCAATGCCCGCCTACCTGTCCTACGCATTGGGTTTTCATCGATGGTTTATTCCAGTCAGGGCTCATTGGTCAAAATCCCGTAAACCAGCTAACACCGGTGCAATTACCAGGAGCCCAGGAGTTGAACACTTCTCATTGTAGGCTAGTATTAGAGTATCTATCGCGGGGGGCGGGAGCATCGAGAAATCCCGCCTGATGCGGGCCGGGAGATTGGAGCCCTAGCTGCCCTTAATAAGCCTCCAGGGGTGATCAGTCCTATTGTGAGAGGGCCACCACTTGATCCTTGGCCATACACCGAGGGGCGGTGTCTGCGATGGATGGGGTAGTAGAAGTTATTCCACTATCGCAGTGATTGACAAGTAAGAGTGGATCAAGTATGATAGATTCTGGAAAATAAAATTCAATTCAGGAGGAGAAAAGCGAGATGATAATCAGATGGGTTTTCCTCATTTCCCCCTCCAGCTTGATTTGAACAGCTCCGATGCTTAGTGCTATACACATCTTATAGTGCGGATAAGAGCGAATTTGTTAGCGGGGGATCGCTGCTATACCCCCCACAAACTGCCCTCCTATGATATGAGTCCATCGGTTCAACAAACCCAGGTAGGTCCGAGATCCAGTATAACACAACACCGGAACAAGCTCGGATGATGCCAACCTTGAGCCAGAACCTATTCCTAAAAGAACCCCACGACCCAGAACAATGCCCCCTTCGGCGCCCGCTGCGAGAAATAGAAGCGCCCCGGGAGCGTCCCCCCTCCCATTACACAACCTCCGCACGATATCGCACAAAGGGATAGACGTAGGTTGTGAGCGCATCATCACAAGAAATCACTCGATCTTTCACGCCCCGTCTAGTCCCGTTTGGTAATGTATGATACTTGTGCTGTCACCCACGGTAAGCCAGGAAGCAATTCTTCTGGAGAACATCGCCAGCGGGAGATCGGCTCTCTCACTTTGTACTACTCCAGGGGTCAGCCAAACCGCCGGTACTGGCTAGCAATAGAGGTAAAGTACTTTTAGTACGGATGCTGTGGCCCCAAGGCCCATTGGGGCAGGTAATTTTCAGGCGGCATAATATATAGTTGTGGGTGATACCACCACACGCATCACACTAACACTATGCTTTCCTTCCTATCGCCCCTCCTACCCACGACCAGATCTTCGAACCCAAATCGAGCGACTATCATACTAGCCCACCAACCGCCCAGCACTCCGTCCTTCCCTCCCTCCTTCCAGATACAACAACGGAGTACGGCACGGCACAGCAAAGTAGATGTAGGCCAGCTAGACACACCTCATTGAGCAATACCCAGCACCAATTTGCGAACTTCCCTGGTATCGTACACGACAACTATGAATACGCCCACTCCCTCACGACATCGCAAGCGGATAGACACTACGGGATCCTCCACCCAAATGCCATATCTCCGGACATGGCCAGACCGGAGCTGACCAAACACCCCTCTCCCTTCCCACCCAGCCCCAAAAACAAGCACACTACGCAGACACTAAACCAGCAGCACCTTGCCACTACCGTACTTTGTGATGAGGTACGCAAGGCAGCGTAGCAGTAATAAGTAATCCATATTGTACTGCACAATGGAAATGTCAAGTTCAACTATATGAAAAATCTAATCGGGTCTGCTGTTCACATTACTTCATTTTGCCTATCTACCCCACCTTTTTTACCTATCATACAACAATGCATAGCTACAATATCATGCCTAAACAGTATGCATATGGTGGGAGAAAGAAATATCCAAAAGAGAAAAATGAGAGTTAAGAAATATCTTCAATGGTACATAAGAGAAATCAAGACTTTCTTTAAGACCCCCATATTACCTGTAAGTAAATAGTAAAATAATTTTCACTAAAAAAATTTAGACGATAACGAGATTCCCTTACTCTGACATGATAATAATCATGAATTCTGCTTTAGTCTTCTTAAGAAGCAATGGATACTCAGAAGATTGAAAAAATCTAAATAAATTATTACTCTTGACTTTTTGCCTGGATTTTTAGAATAAAAGAAACCACTTACCTCTGCCTTTTTCTTGCCTACATGTAGTACTTGTTAATAATCTATATTGATTGAATGGCAATCGAAATCTCGGAAGCAGAAGCCAAAGTATTATAAAATTATGTTGTTTTCTTTAACCTAGTTTTACACTAGCAGGCAATGTACTATCATACGTACATACATTCCATGAGAGAACCCACCAGTAAGTACAATTTTTAGTAATGACAGTCCTTCAGCGAGGAGATGGATTATTACAGTACTAGTTTAAAAGGGTTCGTTCAATGCTCTTTTCACATCAAAGGTAACTACCTATCTTTACCACCCTCTCTTATAGCACAATATTAAGGAGAATATGACAAAATTTGGTAGTACATTAGAAAACTTGTAGATAATACAGAGAATATTACAGAATTTGTAAACATTATATTAAGGAAGTAGGGAAAACATTATTTAAGTATGAGGTATTAACTGTCACATACTTTTTTTTATAGAACTCTTTAGAAAAATCTAGGAAACTTTCACATGGACCAATGCTATTGCAAACGATGAGTACAGTTTTGATTCTCTTGAGTTGAAACTTTAGAACAGTTGCTTTGTAGTATGAAATCATGCTCTTTTCAATCCTTATTTACACCTTCTATCTAGTATTACCATGTACTTAGGATATGTTAGGCGGAGACAATCTGTATAGACTCAGACTCATCTAGGTCAATCAAGATTGGTTATGTAGACAGATATTTTGTCTAGGAAGGTTCACAGAGTTACTCGTTTTGTTTATGACTACTAAGAGGGAAGTCAAGTAAAATAGAATCATGTGAATAATATTGTATTGTTAAGGTCTCTTCTCCATTGCATGATGATGTCTAAAAGCTTGAAAGATACTTCGATATTTATATTCCATGTCTGAGTTTTTGCAGGCTATTGTGCATTGACAAAATTAACCACCATTCAACAATTGGTGGCAACCCATCCCTCTTCATCACCGCACACTCTCAACAGTACCTAAAAAAATTGCTCTAAGTTAATGAAGAAGAAACCATTCTGCTCAATTCTTTTTTTTAATTAACTATGCCTCCTATTCTTTGCAGTCATGCTAAAAAACCTATTCCCTCTACACATCTCTCTGAGTTTACCAGGAGGAGGATTCTCAGATTACATGAGCCTCAGATGAGATATCAGCAAATTTCCGACTACCTTAATATCACCTACACTACTGTCAGAGACACAATTGTAAAGTGACATCAAAAGGGCAAGGAGAATAAGGGTAGAGGAAGACATCCTAAAACTACCAAGTTACAGGATGATGCTATGGTGGAGGAAGCTCTTAAAAATCGCTATACTACCTATTCTGACATTGTTGAGCAAGTTGCTCCCAATGTTTCTAGTAGGACAGTAAGGAGAAAACTTGAAAAAAAGCATCTTAGAAAGGGAATGGCACAAGAGAGAGTTTATTTGAATGAGGATCTAGATTAAGAGAGGTTGAAATGGGCATTAGCTTAT